GATGCGGGACTCGATCCAGGGACTCCAGGATCATGACCTGAGCCGAAGGCAGTCACTTAACCAACTGAGCCACCCCGGCGCCCTGGTCTGGCTTCTTCATGTCTGTCCGTGGGGCACACCCTAGATTCCCAGTAAACCCATCAAGTTTCCTGTGACTCTGCAGTGATATTTTGTCCTAGGCTTATTTTCCTTTTTGTTTGCTAGTGTTGGAGATCTACATTTAAAAAAATACGACTTTTAAAAGTTATCCAAAAACTTAGCTAACTTTCCATCTCTCATGAGTCAGTGATCCGCTTGGCTGGTCTCTCATCTCTTCCTGGTAGCTGTTGACAGCTAGGAGTCCAGGACAGGCAGGGGGGCTAGTTGTGGGACAACCCTACATTCAGGCCTCTCTGTCTTTCCAAAGGAGGGTCTGGTGGGTGCACAGATGTGAGAACTAGGGACACCACTGGGGCCTTCTTTGATTCAGGAATAGGAACTCCCATACACTGTTGCAGATAGAAAGTAGTGTAAGCCTTAAAAGGGAGGAAAAAATTGACCTCTGAGAGACAAAGGCGAAAATACAAAAAGACAAATGCATATTGCTGCAATACTTTTAATAGCAAAGGATTGGAAACAACCCAAATGTCAATCAGGGGTGACTGGTTGAATAAACAATGGTATGTATGACCTCATAATGGAGTATTTAATAGGAAAACATTCTATCCGGTTCTATGAAATGATATTCAATACATTGTTACAGGGAAAAAAAGCAAGACTAAGGAAAGTGTATATATATATGTGTGTATATATATATATATACATATATGTATGGAAGGGTGAAATGGAAAAAAATTTATCTAAGGCAGAAGGAGGAAACAGGTGGAGGGGACTGGGTCAGAATACAGATTTCTCTGAATGTAGCTCATTTCGTGGAGTTGACTTTGGAGCCATGTACATAGTTTACATAATTATAAAAAAATTGAAATGAAAAAAGCAATCTCTACAAATTTAAGCAAAATAAAGTGAATAACCATAACCCTGATTCAAGTTTGGAACATAACCACTATTCCAAGTTTATTTTAAAATGGTAATTTGACTGAACATCCCTAATGGCAAAAACCATAAGGACAAAAAGAATTGCAAAAGAAAATTTTAACTGTTTTCAGTAATCATATTTTATGATAGTTTGGGCATGGTTATTCTCAGGATTGAAAACAATATGTAATTATTTTGGTGATCTTGAGAAAGAGGTTTTTGGAACGAGTAAAAGAGCAGATGTAAAATCAGTAAGGTTACATTTAAAACCCTATAGTCCTGAGTTGAATTGGAAGTACCATTATAAACTCATGTAGTTAAAAAAAACACCCCAAAACTCATAGTACATATTTCCTAGTTCTGTCCACTAACACCAAGAAACAGTGACCAAACCACTACCAATGAGCACTCTTAGCACCCAGATTTTGGTCTCTAATTATTATTCTCCACTAAGAGGAACAGGGATCCTCAGGAATCACTGGGTAACTTCAGGGCTGGGTCATAAAATACACAAGATGAGCTTGAAACATCTTGTCATACAAGATAACTACGAAATATCAAAGACCACTAGGGTCATGTCAAAAGGAATCAGCCAACTTAACGCAGTTCCCAAGAGCCAAAGATAGGTTAATCTGAGTAACAGTAAAAGATAACAACTGCAATGCACTGAAACACACATGAAATATGTTTAAATCATGAGTTCATTATGTACTCAAAGAAAAGAAAACAGGTCTTACTGGACAGCTTGGAAAGATTCCAGAAAACTACCTTGGAAACTGAGGAAGGGGAAAAAGTCAAGAATTTATACTCTACAAACCAATCCTCAGGGTAATCAAAAGAATAACTGATAGAAGTAAGTTTCTCTTTATAAAGTGTGCCAGCTAACAAACAAAGAAGAAACAACAGCACTGGAATATCATTTGCAACCACTAAAGAAGTTATGGGTCTAGCAATAATCATGAATGGCTGCTACCATCAGAAGAGAGGCAACTAGAGATTATATGGCTCCCACCAGAAGTACCAGAAGACTCTAACTCTCTCGATACAACTACTAATGTATAAGAAATAGAACAGAGGAACATATGAAAAGACACTGCAGAGATGTACCCGGGAAGAGCCAGGCTGTGAGAAATTCTACAGGACACACCACCCAGTACTGACTTCTAACAGGCCTCCAGGTGATTCCAGCATGTGCTAACAGCTGAGAGCCGATGCTACATTTGAAGGAGACTCAAGAGGCATGTCCATGAATTACAGAGCATGGACCTAACTCAAATAAAAACTCCTGAGCCACTCAGAAGTTTGAACAATGACTGAATAGTTGAAGGTATTAAGGAATTATTGCTAATTTTTTAAGTGTGATTGGTATGGAGGTTAAGCTTTTTCAGAAGTCCTTGTGTTGAAATATTTACTGATGAGATGATACGATGTCCAGGATCTGCTTCAGAATCATCATGGGGGGGGGTGAGAGAAGAGGTGGGGGAAGGTTGGCTGTGTGTTAATTGTTGAAGCTGGTGGTTTGGACGTGGGGTTCACCATGCCGTTCTACTTCTGTACATGTTTGCAACTATGCATGATAACAAGTTTTACAAGACCCCACCAATGATAGGAAGCTCTCTTACCTGAAAGGGGTGCAACTCCTAGCTAGGAGAGAGTGCAGAGATAAGGTATTGCCCAGGGAGGAAGGGCCCAGGTATCATCCACAAGAGGGGGTCCCAAGCCACCAGGCATTCATATACTGGTGCTACGGGGATGGGGCTGGATGTGGGATTTCATAAATGGGAAGCAGCTTTGATGATGAGAGGTCTTGGTGATGTAAACCACTGGTTTAGGCTGGGCTTGTGTGGCATCCCAGGCATCATCATACACCAGTCTAGGTGGGGCACGTACTCTGTAGCTCCCCAAGTCACTCCTTGCCTGCTGGGAGGTGAGAGGCTTGCCCCTTGGAACCAGTCCTGCAGGAAGGAGGAGTGCATCGCTATGACACTGTACTTTCAGGGTCATGGCCATGCCCTTGGACTGCCCTCCCTGGCGTTCTGCACAGGGGACTGGATGGCATGCAGGTTTCTAACCCGAGTCACAGCACCATTTGAAAATGCAAGGCTGTGGCTAATAGTTTGAATACAATCTTGTAACAACCCACTAAGACAGATTTGCAGACCCTCGTTCTGCCGTTGGAGAGACTGCCGCTGAGCCAGGGGAGAAGAAACATGTCAAAACCAGCTCTTGACTGTGTCTCACTCTTTGACAAAATAAGACAAGAATAGGTTTTTCCTAGAAACCATCTTGGTATATGGCTTGATCACTAAACGGGCAACACACTTCCTCTGGCCCCACCTCAAACCAAGGCAAACACAAGGAATTTAAAAGTAAAATGTCTGATGAAATCGCACCTAAATTAGCATGTATTTGGATACTGAAGTCTCCTCCCAGTTCAGCTGGCTCTTCAGTTTTAACGTGAACGGTCTCCAGCACCCCACCCCATGCCCCAGCCAGCGCTTGCCTTCTTCAGTCACCGGGAGGGCACTGTCCCTTGGCTCCTACATCAGGAGTAGGAGGCCCTGGAATCAATGTAAATTCAAGCATTTTCTTAAGCTCGCCACAGCCAGATGTGGCCTTACCAATCTCCCATTTGGCCAAGCCAAGTTTCTATTGGTGGCATAATCCCAAGGTCACCTCCATGGTTTCTTTCTTGTGCATTTAACCCAGTGGGTCCAGCCTTGATCGGAAGAGAGCCAGGTATCCCTTCCTAGAAGGCACTGGGCTAACTCATGTGCAGGTACAGGCCAGGTGGGCGTGGAGGAGCAACAGACTTTATTTCTTCAGTTTCAAGACCAGGTTACGTTCTGAGATACGATTTCTCAAAGGGGAATTCATTCAGGCAGAACTTAGGCTTTAATGTTGGTTCCTTGGTCTAGAAGAATCTGCGTGGGGGTTCCAGGCCCTGCCGTGGCTTTCTGATGAGAAGGCTGGCAGGCATGTCACAGAAGGGAATGCAGACAAGAACACGGTGCCGGGCTGTGGCAGGAGACCCACTCTCTATGCCACATGAGCAGGGCATGATTGGCTCTCAGCATGCTAGAACCGCTTCATAACAAGGCTTGACTATAACCATACAGAGGACTGACAATAAGCTTTTCCCTCCCCAGCTGGTTCACGCTCACAATGCCATTCAGTCAGCATTTTGAAAAACTGCCCATTTCCCTGTAAAGACTTGAGAAAGTGCATAATCTACGGGAAGAGCTTAAAGCAGGGAAAAAAACAAAACAAAAAGCAACGTGATGTCAACAGTCTGGATCCTGTAGCTGCCCTTCTCTGCCACTCCCCAGAAGAGTGTGCGGCATTGCCCTAGAAACCTGGGGGCACGGGCAGGTGGGCGGGTGGGCAAGGACAAGGCAGGCTGGGGAGAGAGAACTGTCGCAGTCAAGGCCCACAGCCAGATCTCTGAGGAAGCTAAATGAGCCCAGATCTCCACACCACAGTGACCCCCCACCCCCCGGCTGCCTTAGAAGTCATAAGGGGACACAAAGATGGTGACCTTGGACACGTGGTTGGCTTGGAAGGAGCGGTCCAGGTATTCTGACATGTCGACATCCACCTCTAGCGTCTGAGGCCCCTCCAGGGTCTGGACGAGGATCAGCTCCCCTGTCTGCCGGTCTGAGCGCTGCATCACAAAGTGGCCCCGGCTGTTGCCACCCACGATCCCAAAGCGCAGGCTGTTGGGTCCAGGTCGGCCTGGGGCTGAGGCTGTGGCCATGCGGAAGAGCGTGATGGGCGTCTTCAGGTTGGAAGGCAGGGAAAGGTAATGGAAGGAGATGGTCTTGGGCAAGTGGCGGCAGGGTCGGCTGTCCATGGGGCAGGGGTTTCGCTCACACTGGCTGGAACAGAGAGGCAAAAATGGACGGAGTCAGCCTTGGGGAGACTCGCGAGGGACTGCTCTGACCTGGCTTGTCTGCCCCCCTGCCTTCCTGCAGAGGCCTCCAGAGTGCCCTTTCCCAGCCACCAGTCCCCCAGCACAGAGGCTCAGAACTGCAGGTGAGGGTGGCGGATGGCAGGTGTGGCCAGGGAAGAGGTGCTCCCCTGACCCGTTTGTATATGTACGCACGTACACTACATTTATACATGCTGTTACTAGAGTTTTTACAGACAAATAAAGCCAGGAAGATAAACCAGGTGCCCCTTCTGCCCGTGCCAGGACCCCTCTCCGTAACGGTGGGACCCCAGCAGGTAGCTGGCAACACCCTGGAATGCGGTGCTCAGCACGAGGTGAACTTTGCAACACCCCACGTTTATTCTTAAAGAGGAAACCCTGTCTTTCTTAACCATTTGGAATCAGGATCTTGTGGAAGTGCTTCTGATATTTCTCTACCTTATCTGACACACAGATACAATTTAGCATATTTCATGACTCACATAATCACAGTTATGTAGGTTGGATATTGCATCTGGCTAATAATCAGGCATGTCCCCAGAGGCTATGCCATACAGTCCCTTCACTGAGTGACTTCGGAGGAAGATCTTGGTGCCTTCGGTCTCAGTAAGTAACTGCCCCTCTTGAGTGCCAACTGACTTTCTTGATGCTTCTACTCTGCTATAGCCCAAAAAAGCAATTCAGGTATATGAGCTTGTGAAGTTAATTCATTCTAAAGACAATGCTAAGATGCTTGTGATCTCTTTTTCAGAAGAAAGTACATGTGCTTTGTGATAGTTGTCGTTATTCTCCTGAAAGGCCTGTCTCCCACCTTTTGAAAACAACAACAACAAACCATTAGGTGCTGAGGTTACCGGAAATCAAACCTCCTAAACCAGTGGAAAAGTCTATCAATATAATGCAAAGTGTACGGGACATGCCACGTGACTGGAACCGACCAGTTATTAGCCATGTGAACATGATAAAATGATCCTCTCCCAAATCTGTAATATGTACCTGCCTCCTGGTAACATCACCACGGTGGTCCTCCCTCCACAGTGTCGCCCCACACCCACAGTGCTGCACCAGCGTGACTATAATCCCATCATCCTCCAGGTCAGCAGGGGAACACTGGGAACATTAACTCCTCTGAGGGCAAACTGGGTTCCTACTGCACATAGCAGCAAGCAGTGAATTAAATGCGACCACCGGGCGCCTGGGTGGCTCAGTTGGTTAAGCGACTGCCTTCGGCTCAGGTCATGATCCTGGAGTGCCGGGATCGAGTCCCGCATCGGGCTCCCTGCTCGGCAGGGAGTCTGCTTCTCCCTCTGACCCTCCCCCCTCTCATGCTCTCTCTCTATCTCATTCTCTGT